ATATATATAATATATGTAATATATTATATATGTAATATATACATATATATATATTCCACACCGCATTATTTGCTGGAGTTGTGAGACCGCGGAGTGGCTTCCTCCCATTCGTGCTGCCCCCAGGGGAATGTAAATGGCAAATCCACAGAGCACAAGGGCAGTTTCTGTGTCCAGGATGGGGAGGTACAGAGAAGGTCTATTCTTCGAGGGCCCAGCTCCCCTGAGTTTTAAACCACACGATGGCAGCGGGCTCGTGTGACACCAGCGTGCGCCATTACGTACCCAACACTTAGAGAGGAGGGAGGCCCAGGCAAGTGTGTTGAATGAGGCCATTAAGTTTCTGAGGAGGGAGAATATAGTGCTGTTTGTTTTTGTGCTGACTGGAGAAAAATAAGCAAAAGTACAAAGTACATTTTCAGGATCTTAAGGCAGAATCTGTACATTAATTTTGCCCTCCAGTAAAGCCTAGTACATAAAGGAGATCAGGGTGAAGAAAAATTCCACAGGAAAGGGGGTGATTAGTTAATTAGCCAACTCCCCGATTTAAGTCTCACTGCTAATTCCGATGAACTTAAAAAGATGGAGGAAAGCATGAGATTTTTAAAGTCCTTACATTTCCTGTAATCCAGATGGTGTTTGGGCTGTGCGTTGCTATTTACTGAGTCATGAACTTTATACACTGACTCAAATCTGCCATTTTTTAAAAATGACATGAAAGAGAATAGCAGAGTACGTAAGGTAGGAAGAACAAGTATATAAATATATATTATTTAATAGGTAAACACATGATTTAAATCTTCCGTTTCCATTAAATGTATGTGTGTGCACATGGGCTCAATTGTGTGGCATGTCCTTTCTTGCTGTGCATTGAGGTCAAGGCTCGGAGAGTCACGGGTGGGGTACAGGCACTATCTCCTTCGCTAGGTGAGTCAGAGTGGCAGGGGAATTTAGGTTCTCTCTTAGTAATCCTGTGCTCTGTCAACTGCACCACACTGGAGGAGGAGGAAGAGGAGTAGGAACCATTTCTTCAGTCCTTTATTTCATCTTTCAACAAAGTCTTTCATTAGCTACTTGGGCTCAGGCCTCGTGCTAAAAACTGGTGGCTCAAAGCAGAACAAATGAATTCATCATCTTTGTCAACTTAGAGCACAGCGGGGGAGGCAGACATTAAACAAGTAAACACAAAAGCAACCGTATACACAATAAATACAGGGCTGATGAAAAATAAGGTGGATATTTACATTTTAAAATATTTATTATAATGAAGCACATTGTCATTAATTCCCCTCAGCGTGCTCCCCTTTGACTAGAACAGTTATTCTATCCCATCATCCTTGCCTTACAGCAGTTCTGGAAGTCCCCTTCCATTGAGTGACTTTGTGAGGTGAGATCAAAACTACGGTAGATGCTGCTGCCAAGTGTCATCCAATGGCAAAGCAGGCTCATAAAAACACTGCAGTGTGTCCTCCTCATCCACTGTACCCACCAGGTCGGGTACGATATCAGATACGTAGCTGATATATCTGGCTTTTCCCCAATCAAAATGATCATGAAAGGTAAGCATTTTGAATTGATGTGGGACAATGAGGAAGCCACAAGAGAACTAAAGATAGTCACAAAAGATGATTTCCAGAACTGCTTCAGACAAGTGGCAAGAATGATGGAATAAGTGTGTTCAAAGGCAAGGAGAGCTTTGGGGTGGGGGAGTAAGCAGTGTATCTTTTAATGTAGTAAATTCTTTAAAATTAAAAGGTCGTTCACTATATTTTTTATCATACCCGTGAAGAAAATTATGAATAAAAAATACGGGGTTATAATTGAATGTGGAAGGCTGCCATTAACAATTAACACAACCTAAAATGCCTGAAATGATGAAGAAATTTATTGTTTCAGATAGCATGAAATGCCAAGGTCAGAAGGCTCTAGGTGATGAATTCAGCGGCTCAGTATCGACAGGGAGGGCTCTGAGTTGTCGCCATTATTCCTCAGCCATCCCTACCACGCCAGCATTGTCCCCAGAGCATTCCCACCTGAGGTTTCAGATGGCTGGAGCAGCTGCGGTAATTACAGTCCTTACAGTGTCCGAGGGCAGAAAAAAGAATGGGAAACTCTTTCCCAAGAACTTCACCTACCATTAGTAAAAGCTGAGTAATTCCAGGAATGGAGGAGGAATTACAAGAGGTGGTTGGCAGAAGCTCTTCAGGCTGTGCTCCTGAGCAATTCAGGTTGCTTTCTTTGAGAAGTGGACACCCGAAAACAGAGGAGAAGATGGCAATGGATGTTGGGCAGGCAATCTAAAGTCAGGTGCAGGGACTCAGGGATGTCTTCTCCAGGAAAAGATGACCTCCAAACCAAGGTGAGTGAGACTCAAAGATAAAAAGGAAGCCCCACCAGGCAGAGGAGACTCTGTACCACATGGTGAAGGCTTCTGTGCCATTTTTCTTTTACTCTGTCCCCCAGAGGAGGCAAGCAGACCACAGAAAGCAAGCCAAAAGAATTAAATAATTGATCAAGTTCACAGAGCTAATAAGTAGCAGGGCTAACCTGTGTCATTCCAGAATTTAATAGCTTGGCCTTTCCTGACTCTCCAGAGAGTGAGAAGCCATAAGCCACTGGCCTTTCTCCACCATTGACTAAGGAACACAGCCTGCTCCAAGCTCCGCTGAGATGTTTCTCTGGGCCTCAGGCAGAACAGGACATGTGTTCATGTCCTCCATCCTACGGAGTGTCCTGGCTGTGCCCCCTGCTGCTCTGGGTGTCTGGTCTCTCCTAAGCCTTGCTACCACAGAGCTAGGGTTCTCGTGATGTCAAAGCTAGAGGAAGCCTAGGGACATGGAAGGATGAAGGCTCTTCTCTTTGTTGTCACACAGCTAGAGAAGTCCTCAAGCAGACCCCACGTTTCCCAGAAATCTCTGTTTGACCTACTTTCACGGGGAACCACATCCCACAGGCTGAACTAGGAACAGATCCCAGCAATGTTTCTATGCTGAATTCAGACTTTGAAGCTCCTGGACTACTAATTTCTGTTCCAGCTCATAGATCCTAGGCCCTATTTTCTGGGAATTAATTTGCACACAGATATCCATTACCACCCTGAACCTATCAGATCAGCCCTGGGCTCCCAGCATTTGAACTTCAGCTCAGAGCCTCCCAGGCACAGGCTGAGCTCCCTTTTGTGTACCCAGGAAATCTCCAGGGTTCATGAGAGGGACAAAACCACTGTCCTGCTTTCTCACACTCTGTTTTCTTGCCATCTCTTGGGTTTTTGCTCCCTTCCCTCATTCATTCTTTCACATGATTATTTTACCATTCTGGCGCCATGAGCAGCCATTCCAAGTGCTAAAGCTGGAGTCTTACTTAGGTCATTGTGCTTCCTGATTGGCCTCACCCAATCCTAGCCAAGAAAAATTATTATTTGCCCTCAAGGCTTCTTCTGGTTGGGTTTCAGCATCACTTGCCATGGTTACACAGCAAACCCAGTTGATTGCACCACACCATTTTGATGTTTTCTAAACTCCCTGCAGCCACAGATTCCTCTATTTTCCTTGATGTCACTTCTTCCTTGCAGACCATTGGTGGTCCCTGTGAGCTGTTCTCTCCTCTGTGATCCCACAACATCATGCTACCTCAACTTACACAGACTTGTCTACCTATCTCCCTTCCTAGACTTCACAGCACTGACTTTGTTGTATTGATTCTTACATCTCCAAAACACACATATTCAATCTCTTCACTATTTAGAAAAAAATAAGTTTTAAAAATTAGACTCTTTAATCTGCCATTGTACTTCCTGTTCAAAACTTTTCCAAGATACCAGAATCTGAAAGATATCTGAGTATCTAGCATCTAATTCCTTCAAGGGAGCATATTACTAATGTCAGACTGGTGCAGTCTTCCAGGCCGAGCAATGACATCATTCTCCATTCTACTCTTCTTGGCCTCTCCCTTGCCAAATCCTCCCCACTGATCCCTGGTGGGAAGGAGGGTGAGCCTCACAGGCATTAACTCCTGGGCATCTTCCCAGCACTCCAGGCAGTGCCAGA